CCGCCGCAGGGACCCGCGCGCGCTCCCGTCTCACTTCTGGCGCGGAGTGTCCCAGAGCCGCGTGGGCCGAAGGGCAACACCAGTGATTCCCCCGCCGCGCCCGCCGCCCGCGGTCCGGGAGGGGAACCGACCTGACGCGCCGCCCAGCCCGGGCCGCCGCGCGTGACCGGCGCGCAGCCTCCGTGCGGGCTCCGCCTCCGGGCGTCCTGGGCGCTCCACGCAGCCGCGCGCTGCTGCCTCGTGCCCCGCGGCCCTGCGCGCTCCGTGCCGCGTTCAGAATTGTCTTTTCCTCTGCTCTTCCTTCTGGTGGCTTTCCCCAGTCCTCTCCTGCCAATAAATGACTTCTTTAAAGGGCCTTAGAATCTAATGAGGAGGTCTCTGCCCACAGCTGTTTCGCCGGTAGGGGGCTCCTCTCTGGTTTTGTTAGGAGGGACACACAGACACTCTTCTGGCACATTCCTTCCTGGGAGATACTGCCCGGCTGCCTGGACTGTGAACCCGACCCGGCCCAGGACAAAAGCGGTACTTGCGCGTACGCATTTAGCCAAAGTTACAACGAATGTGTACCAGGCTTACGCATTTCCTTTTTTTCTAGGCCAGTCAACCTTGAGAATAAATTTATCTTCCAAAAAATCAGGACCTGTTTTTTTTTCTTTCTTTTTTTGATGTAGCAAGGATTAAATGTCACCATTTTGATCCAATTTTGTTCCTGTAGTGACATTATCACTAAATAACTACTTTGCCGAAATAAATTAATTTTTAAGTCTATTTTTTATTTTCTAATTATAACTTTTAAACACAGATTTGAGGAAATTAACATTTATGTGGACATTTGGTTTCTAGCCTAATGTGGCATAAAAATAAGTAACATAATGAGTGTTAAAAAAAATCAGGTTCATGATGCTTCTCACATCATCATCATTGTACTTAGATGTCACAACAGTATTATGTGCGATTATGTCAGCTCCAGCCTTCTCCATCTCAGAGTGTTGGCAGGTAGGAGGGTTGTTGGCAAGAGAAGGGGTGTTAACCTCAGGATCCTGGATCCATTCCAAGGCTGGTAATTACATTCTGCCAGCCAAAATTCATCCCATCATTTTAATTGGATAAATCCTTTCTGGCCTAAGCTACTGCTATGCCTGTCAAACTGTTGCCACATTTCACCCCAGAGGTGTCTGTTGTAGTTGCAAGAATCAGTCCCTTTGAGGTTGGCTTATCAGTTTAAAACCTCAAAGTGCTTTGGGATCCTATGGAACTAAATATATACTTAGGTATTTTTTATACTAAATCTGCACAGAAATGCATAGATATATTCCTTCGTTAATTCCTGTAGACCAATACCCATCTAATGTCAGCATTCGCTAATTTTGAGAGCTTTTTAACTAGATTGGTGTCCCTAACTTTCTTTGTCTTTCCTTTTGAGAGCTTTTATTGCCTATAGCTTTAGTTTCCATTTTCCAAAAAGTATTGCAATGTCCAAAGTTTCCTTCAATGGTAGGACACAGAACTGAAGCCCCTGTGGTTCACCTTCCCAAACAATCTTTATGATAAGACTATTTGCTAAATTGAGACAGCATAGTACCATTACATCTAGTCTTATACCCCTCAAGAGAAAACAGTGTGACACTTACAGGCTTCGTGGTTCTAGCGGTAGTAACTGCCAGAAGGAAAGCTTTTCCCCCACGTCTCCTGATCCTCTCGGTGAGCATGCCTCTCCCTTACAGGGCAGCAGGGGCATTAAGTAAGATAACGTTTCTGAACCACCCCTTTCTCCATCCTACTCACTTCCAACACAAACAGAGAGAAAACAGGGCCTCAGTGTTCTTTGTGGAGGGCAGCATCTGTTCCTGCCTGTGTTTTTGGGAAAGACAAGGCGACACATACTAGTACGTCCCATGAGAAGTTTAGCAGTAAGATTGACAGTGTTATTTTGTTCTCTTCAAGAATGGAAAGGTACTGTTGATATTAGTTTAGCTGTTCCACGTGTAATCCTGTCCATTTCATTACTTAGAAGAGTTTTATGTAACATTTACAATGTGTGCATATCAAATATATCATTTTTTATCTAACTTAGCATTCTCTGGAGAGATTTTTCATACCTTTTGACTTAATGTGTTATTCTGACTGTTTTCCCTGCTAACTCTACCTTCTGGGCACTAGTTCTTTTGCTCCTTATGGTTTCTGTCCAGAAACAAGCACTGGGATAGAGAACAACTAAAACTCCCAAGTGTCAGTTCTGCTGGTGACAACTGTCGTTTCCTAACGTTCCCATTGGTTCCCGGTTAGACAAAGAGGACACTTTTCTTTACCCTTCATTCTCACTGTTGCGGGCAGGGAGAACTTAGTTCTTGTAAGAGCCTTCCGTGACCCATCTGAGCTGAGGAAGGTGAACGGAGAGGCTGTGCTCTATTGTCTGTCTCTCCCCAGCTCTACCTGAGCCCAGAGCCCGGTACTGGTTGAGCAGGGCCAGGACTAGGGTGAGGTGAGTGACGCACTCACTCGGGTGCCAGAGAACTCAGTGATGCAGTATTCTTAAAAATCAAAATTAGTACAAAATAAGAACTCTGTGGTGAATAAAATTGCAAAATGTTAAGTAAGGACAGGACCCTACCCTGAACTTGCCCCTGGACTCACACTCACTTGCCCCACCCTGATCCCAGCCCTGCGGTTGCCTTTGCCTTCGTGCCAGCCTGTCTCTGATTGTAGGGCTAGAGGAAGCCGCACCACTCTGCCCTGCCTGCATCCTCTCTTCTGGTCCCCAAAGTGGGCAACAAAACCAGAAATGTCAAGAGTAGGAATTTTCAGGCCAGTGGAGGCTATAATTTCTAGTCTGTTTAAGAGTTTCTAGATTTCTATATACGTCTCGTATAGGAGATGTGGCCAACTTATTTCAAAAGAAGGCAAACCCTTATCAGAACAAGCAAAAGAATCAACTCTACTTATCAGAATATGGTGGTTTTACTATTGGCTGTTTTCTATTTTTATATTCTAGCATTTATCTGTCTAGAAA